TTGAACTTAATAAATGTGAAATTAAAACATATTTTTTCACGGATTGCGCCCTGCATGGAGACCAAGTTAAAGACTTGATAATTATGAATGAAATCCTTGAATATTGAACGAGTATGGATGGAATCTACACCCTACATGATCAATAGATACCCTCATCCATGATCATGGATTCCGTTGGGTTTCAGGGCTGGAAAAAAGGTGATTTTGAACTCTCTCTCTCGATTCTCTTTGGAGGTACTAACTCTACGCACCACTGCAGTCAACATTGTTTGGTGAATTTTTTTTTCTTTGTGTGCTATTTTTTCACCTGCCACTTTCACATTTGTCAGCCGGCTGTTATGATAAACTAAATAACTAAGCTACGGTAGATGTCGGATAACTACGGTATGATGCAAATTTTTGTTGTGACAACACATGGGGACTGAATCGTGACCAAACATGCACATACATGATCCCCTGCATATTCCAGGAGATTGAAAGGGAATGTGGGTGGATTGTAGTGTTGAGCGGTTTGATCATGAATTGGGCTTAAACGGATCTTTGAGGGAAGGGTAGCTCAAAAGTGTCCTGTGTGGGGATGTAGGATTTTTCCCAGGCGAATCGATAGATTGACTAGGACTGCCCTCCGGGAATCCTGAAGTTTCTTGCTAAGCAAATAGTTCAAATGGTTCGTGCATTTTGAGCACGAACCCTCAAAATGAATCAGATCTAAGGAAACACTCACAATGACGAGGGGTGTGACAGAAAGTACCCCAGGGCCGAGTCTATTTGGACACAAAGAAGAGTTTTCGTTTGGGTCTTGGGAAGCTTCCGTTTGGCGTGAAAGTTGCTTGCTCATAGTATCATTGTACTTCATTGAGAAATGTTTCACAGACCTTCTTTATTGATTGATTCCTCGTCCCTTACATTTGCGGATATGCGGTGACAGACGAGTTATCGACAGCCGCGGCGCGCGTCCTGCACCTGCGACGCGGCATTGGCGCCATCTGTTTCGAAACGCAAGCTCTAAATGCTGCCTTGGCGCCCGAATATACAAATTAGGATATCCCATCTTGTGCGTGAAGGACAACATTGAGTGTGGTTTGGGATTTTTACGGACAGGTTTGTAAATCAACACATTAATCCGTAAGAAAGTGTAAGGTTATAGCCTCAATCTCAGTGAGGTAGGGTAAACGGGAGAATAAATGAGAGTAAAATCCAGTGTATTTTAATTGGTTCTGCCAGCAATCGTAAATGTTCAACTCAGCTAAGCCATTGATAAGGTAATATAACTGTAATTTCAATATTTTGATTTTTGTTAACCTGGTTTCATGCCCAAACAATGTGCGTGTTTGGGGGCCTTATTGATTACTTCTCCTTATTTGCGTACTATGAACGTGGTCAGGATTTTCACATCCCTTCAGTGAAAGCGCATAATTGCCTATCATTTTCCAGAACATCACCACCTGCTCCTGCCGCTTTCACCTTTCCAAAAAGACTTTGCCAACTTCGTTCCTGTTGAGCAGTGTGATGACGTGATCGTCGTAGATCGCCAAATTGGCGCCAATCGTATCATGAGCGATCGATGGGTGGGGGATTACCCGTACTTCTTCACCCGTGAGTTTTTTTAGGTTTTTTTCTTGCTCACTCTTGAATTTTCCTGTCAACTACTGAATTTGATGACGTGGAAACCATTTTCGATGGTGAGGTCGATATAGGGCTGAAGACGGACGACAGATGACGTCGACCGGCTGTAGGTGCACCGCTTGTTTTGCTGTAATTCCTCAACCTTTACCGTTCCCTTCTATAGCTCCCGAATATATGCAAAATTCTTGTTTGGGAATGGGAACACCTTTCAGTAGGATCAAAGGAACAAGCTTTTCCAGGTTTCTTAGCCAGATCCGTTTTTGATGTCTTGCTATTGTCTCCTCTTTTCTTGCTCAACGGGTTATCCACAACTTTTGCTCAAATGGGTTTTCACGACACATAGAGGAATTGGTAGAAATAAAGTACTTCGAATAATACTGTCCTTACCGCTCTTTTTCTATTTTCTTCTTGTTTTGGGATTTCCTTGTCAAGATTGCAGATCCAGCCGTATTTAAGCTCCTACCGTAAAACTAGCCGTAAAATAATTTCTGAAGTTCCCTTAACAATTTGTGCTATACCTAATGACCCCACGGCTAGTAGGCATTATTTCAAGACTAATAGATATCTGAAAATTTATGTTCATAGCGCCTGCCTTTTTTACGAAGTAGGAGCGGAGTAGGTGACGTATCCGGTTCAGTCGTACCGATTCCCTATAGGCAAGGTATGAACATCTTTTCGAATTCAACTCGGTTTGTAGTAACATTTTTTGGCTGATAATTCCGCCAACTCCTTCTCCTTAGCTTCAAATGGGTCCAATGGATCCGAGAAGCCCTCGGGTCTGTTTTAAAATGCGTGACTATTTTAAATGCCAAAGGGAGGAAACTGTTTGAATCCCAGATTGCAATTCTCCTCGAACTAACCATTTCTCAGTTCGACCCTTTCTTTTTCATGGGGATAGTTGCGAATAGTTACAATTAGCGATTTTGCGTGGCAAGTGGACATTCACTTTTCGCATTTATTCCTTTTAGTTAGTCTAGAAAGCTTGGAACTTGTCTTTTGCGAATGGGTGTGGAGACGGGCGACAATTGTTCGTTCAATTTCGGCACACGAAAAATGCGAGCGACTTCTTTCAGATTTTGTGAAATGGGCCCAAGGCGAGGTCGCCGAAGGAATGTTGTTGGCGACGAGGCTGAAGCGGCCGAAACACAGGTGCTGACTGATCCAAATGCTCCAGAATTCGTGAGTTTTCCCTTTGCTTGAACATTTTCTGTTTTTTTTTTTTGTTCATGCTTTTTCTGTTCAGCTGTGTTTAGGAGCTTTTTTGAAGTTCATTGATGACATTCATCTTCGCGCCTCATGTGGCGAATTAGGGTTCCTGTGCCATACTTTCCCAGGTACTTCCCCAATATAGAAATGAGTGGTGTTATACTCAGCGTGGTGTGCGTTTATTCGGGCTTGAAACCTATTTCGAATCATATAGGCTCTTCGAAAGATTGCCATTATAGTTATGCTGCATTTTTGGGAAAACTTTTCTTTGCATTTTGGCCATTTGATGGCATTCTTAGTGGAATTTGCAGTAATCTCTTGAAACTCGAATTGCTGCTGCCGACCATAGAGGTAGAAGTTGAGCAGGTAGGTAGAAGTTTTTTCTCGAAGTGTTTTCTGGATAACAGGCCCAAGCTCAGCTGTAAGAGTGTCAAGCTCAGGCCAGATGTAAAACGGATACTCTAGTCCGGCTGCTGACCCATGCTCATGCGCCAAACAGGTGTTATAAAACAGACTGTTGGTGTTGATAGTGCTAAGTGCGTGGATCACATCAGTATAGTCCCTCTTCATCAGAAAAAGTCGAGTAGATGCTAAGCACCTGCAGAACATAAATAAGCAAGAGTGTGTGACCTCTTTCCCATCAGCTTCCTCTGGATTTCTCGAATCCTTTTGGCTTGAATAACCAAGAGCGACTACTGCTACTCGGTTATTTACTTTTTTACTGCTTCCGATCATCGCTTAGGGTTTCGTCTGGGGTTGACTTATGCTGTCTAATTTTTCGTAGTGTACACTCAAGTGATGCGTACTTATCGGTCTGAGACCGATAGCTACACCAGTAAGCAATTGAATACAGTCCACGGACCATCAGTACTACTCCTACCGTATGAATATATTCCACTTTAATCCGAAATTAACCGTTCCGAGCAGACTGACATGCTGTCATTTTTGTGCCGTGTGATGTGCTAATGAACCAGATGATGAGCGAATACACAACGGGTGATGATACCCGCTGCGATGCTGATTCGCTTGTTGCCTGTCGCACGCAGGCGGTAGCATGTTTAAATTAGGAATTGGGTCAATAGCTGATAACTCGGCTTTTATTTATTAGCTGCTGCGTATATTCAAAAAAAAGGGAGTTCTATACACAACAGACTCAATTGACTATGGACCAGCAAAGTTCAACTAATTTTTGAAAGAATCTATCTTACTGTGAAAGAAAATCTTTGCCTGACTCTTAGACTTGCCCCTGTATTATGAAGAACATTGCTTTCTTCCCACTAGATTCAGATGTGTTCAGGCCCTCAACGTTCTTACGAATCAAGCCACCCGGTAACCATAGTCGATCTTGGTTGTCTGATTATTACTTTCCCCATTTCAAGGTACGGTGCGAGGTGGTCCTCGTGCGGTACAGATGTACTAAATGCGAAAATTTCCATATGAGGGTTCTACAAATTACAGCTCAAGCAAGACACTAGAGAACGTTGTAAGTTTGTTGATATACAATGACTGAGATCGTTTTCCTCATTCACGGATAGGATAGAAAAGGGTATACTAAATTGGACTAGCATAGGGAACTACCGGAAGGGAAAGTATCGAAAGTAAAAGTCAGTAATTATTATAAAAGCGAGGCACCTTAGTTTGCTCGAGTAATGTTCCTGTAAGTAGAGGGTTCGGAGAGCATGCTGCCAAGGTACAGAGATTGAACATGAAATTCTCTACTCAGGAGGGTTCGCGCAGCTATTCTCCTCGATGTGATATTGTGAGGAGGAAATCAAAACCTTTTAGCCATTTCTCCACACATAAAAGTTTGAATGGTACACAATGGAAACAGCATGCAGATGGTTTGTTACTAGTTGTGCGAGAATAAGAAGCCGCCGATCAATTATTCCTTTGTTCTCTGACCTTATTGGTTCGACCTTTCCTTCAGCTCACTGGATGCTGGTTATCGTTGAACATTACGTCACGCGAGGAATTAGAAAGTCCATAGAAACTGTCACGTCCTTAGTTACGCTGAGGCATATTAGAAGCTTCAGATAATGCCGACGTTATTTGAATGAAGTATGTGTATCTGAACTCTTAGTTTAGGATGCGGTATCTTACATCTTAGGTTTCTACGGGTCTTAATTGTCTCTATTTTTACAATATTAGATTTATTTGCCTAATTTTCCCTGCGACAACTTTTCTTTTACTTTCACTTTTACTTTTGGTTTACTATTTGATTCTTAACTGTTAATTCCTAGCGTTAGAAGGTGTAGTAAATGGAGTTGGAAGTAAAGCTGAACCAAAAAGGCTTAGATGTGGTGGCCGAAGCTTCATTTCTATCTAGAGACTTCATATTTATTCAATTCGCTTCTACCAATTGAAGTCGGTCCTGACCCATTTTGAATCGTTCACGCTAGCTATTTCGACCAGATTGGCGCACATGTCATATAGTGTATTGGCGTTTCCCAGAACCTTCCAATTGTCAGATTTCAGCTGCCAAGGAGCATCGATTGGTGTAATTGATTGGGTTTACGCAGAGCTATCGAGCATGTGCAACCCCATGCATGTCGTCGTCATGCATCAATTGCGATCAGCTGTTGATCGTCATAATCGTGGTCGAACCGTAAATCACTACACTGACAGACAGCGGTCCTCAACTACCGTACCTCGGCCCTTAGTGAACACCCAAATTTCTGGCTACAAGTCGCAAAATGCTGCGGTCGCTATAAGACGTGCCTGGAATCGGATCTTCTTTTATGGGATTAGGGAAGCAACAGCTGCAAAACGAGACGGTCTCCCTGACGCTCCCCTTTCTTACAGTCTGATCTTTGCCGGAGAGCTGAGAAGTTGAGAAGCCAACTATTGAATGGTTCTTAAGATGAATCGCGTTAATAGTGGCCCAGAGCTTTGACAATAGCGTTGCACCCCTAAAACCTACTTAATGTTCGGCCCCTTTGATGTCAAGTGGGCTTTTAGAGAAATAGTGGCCTAATCTGGCTGCGCATATGCTCAGCTCTGTAAGTATCGTTTAACTAATCAATATGTAAGGTCAGAACAAATGACAGCATATTTGCTCAGGTAACTGTCGTATAATGCTGTTGCTCAATCCAACCTGCCAGAATAACCAGGTTAAGTGATTTACAACATGTGTGGGAAAGTTTGAAACTATTACAGCTCGACTGTTCAAAATTTTCAAGAGCTATGGTCTAGTTGATAATGGGAAACAAACTAAAGTTTTATAGAACCGATTTCGTTTTTGTTTCCCTGTTTCCATTTCAATCCAATACTGCGCTCAAATTTCACTATCGCTTACCCTCTGACATATCCGGTTGCAATTTCATTTTCTAGGTATTGTGAATTGAAAGGTTGTAGCGATTTGCTCGTTGATCATGCGTGTCTGATGGCAAGCACTCGACCCGGAGGGGCATAGGACTTCGATTGTTTGGGCGGAGTTAGGTCCAGGGTTCAATCCACGGGTTATGTTTGTGATCGTAGGGCTTGCCATTGCCACTGAAAAAGAGAGCTTTATTCGTGGAATTTGATGGTCCCAGAGATGGGCCAGGAAATGGCTTGTTCCTGGATGGAACGTGTAATGGTGACGTTCTTTTGCGATTTCTGTAGCTATTTACTTGTCCCAGATAGACTGAGTAATCGAATTATCTAGAATTCGGCATTAATGCCAAATTCTAGATAATTGGAATTTGTTTGAAACAGACGTTCCGTTAAGGTGTGGTAGAGGTGGGACATACTTTTTCAATTACTTTATTTTCAGCCATTTATTTTCTGGATTTGCTCTTCATCTCATTGTTCAGTATACATTCATGCATAACACATATTAGTGGCCCTTTTTTGTCCCACACGTAGAAGCGGAGGTTCTTGAGCGGAAAGATGAAAGATCAGGTTCATGAAAACTACGTCATAAATACCTCAACAAACATTAAACACAACAATTTAAACACAATTTCACATCGAATACAGCACCCTGGCAAGAATATCGATCAGCTTAAAGTACCGAATCTTAATCTCAAGTGCATGAATGATCTCATGTTTACTGCACATGCACGGTAAGGACATCTGAATTGCTTGCAGGCAGAAAATAGGATGTTAAATGATCTAAAGTTTAACTACACAGAAGCAATATTCTATCAAACGTCATGAAACTCGTCCAACTGTTTCTGTCAGCTTCGATGAATCTTTTGGATCATACAGAATATTGTGAGCAAAGGTGGACCCATGAAAGTTGCTGTGGAGCCATATCAAGAGATAACGATGAAGGAAAAGCACCAGGGGTGCAGCAGTTTGCTCTAATTTTCAACTGAGAATTGCTCCGCAAGTGGAAGGATGTCAAAGATGGCTCTCGTCCACGCCAGCCATTGTCAATCCCTACGCACCGATGCATAAGGGATAATGAAGGTGTCTCACAAATCTAATTCCAACCGAGTGGTCGTTCAAAGTTCAACTTCTTAAAAAGACATCGAATTCGTACGCATCCTGGAGAGGTTCTTCTGAGGAAAGAGCTTGATTCTTCCGATTCTCATCCGATGGAATTCCGTTGGAAAAACTGCTATTCGAATTCGACGGGAAGCTGTCTCGATCTGCCGACAGAGTGATTCCACTACGCTTCTCTAACCAAGGCTTCAAGCAACTGACGGTGGCGTGATACTGCGACTACGCTTCCCATTCGGCCCTTCCTTTACGGTGTTCGCGATAGAGTGGCTAAGCTGACGCTGGCAATATGCGCTTAGAGCCTGGTTTTTAGTCGTCTTTCTTTGTCTTCCGCAATATGGCCACTCAAAAAAGTCCACATTACTCATCCCCGCTGCCTCATCTACTCTCTGGCTCGAGCTATTTCCTCATTGCAGCGCCAATAGCCCATTGTTGGTCTTCTTCTAAAACTTGGGCTCTGCCTCTCTACTAATAGATTATATTTGGGTGCACTCATGGTTCTGAAGTCCATTTCGCTTCCTGAGAAGATCAAGGCTTGTCTAGAAAGTGTCTGCCAGAACCCGGTCCTTCAGGTCTGGTGTAAGTTGAGTGGGTCGAGGGTAACGGTCGCCACAATCTTTGATCATTGTTTACCGTGAGTGCCACCAATCTGACCCAATCGATAGTTGATGATGGTTACATAATATATGGCTGACCCTCTGGATGCTGACAGAGGTCGCTGTTGGGCTGAGGTGTGCCCTATAGAGGAGAAATCGATAGATTAACTACTTAGTGGATGATTGATTGAGAGGAAAGGGTTGCCTGGGAGTCTTTGTATTTATTACGATAATTGTAGCTCTAATTCGGAAATGTCACTCAGGCGCTACCAGACCGTGCTGCTCTGAGATGCTGTGTTTTGTGCGCTTGTGCATTCCTCCCTTGGGATTGAAGGTGTTCTACGATATTCGTTGAATAGAACTCCGATTCTGCAGCCGAGAGAGATTCCCTTCACGTTTCCTCCACGTTTCTGGGCTGGGCATCGGTACGGCGTGATGGTTCATGGATAGTTCGTTGGATAGTTGGTAGTAGCCGCTCTAGGGCACTCACCGGGCCCCTTTAAATCTTTCTTCAGTCTGTGCGCCTTTTATGCTGCACTATTTACGCACTCCTTTTTGCTTACAGTCAGATTGGGTGAGCGATTTTTTCGGCTTCTGCCGCTGTCGGCAATTTGCATATCCCGGCAGATGGTCTCGGGCTGACCCTTGCTCTGCACTATCTCGGTTTCAGAGATGTTTTCCTAGCGTCTAGCTGGGGTTGTACCGCCTTCGCTGATAGCCTCTCCATCGGCATGCTCTCTGGTCGACTCTGACCAGCCGCTGCTCCACCCCTTTATAGAAAGAATCGAGGCATACATATATCAGCATATAGCAGTCAACACATATCTGCGCAGTTCTCAATGTATTATTGACGTAATCTTCCGAAGGTGCCCATCAGTGAACAAACGTCCAGCCGTTCTTCAGGAGCTTCTGTGAAAGTGATTCTTGCCGATATCTTGCGTAGTTCTTGTGGTGTTAGCAGAACTGTCTCTTATTCTACTCGTCTTTACCCCTTCGTCGACTCCTACTGGCTGAAGGAAATTTACAGCAGAAGTCATATTGAGAATTTGTGAACGTTTTTGTTAGGATTTGTTTTTTGTTGAGGAAAGACTCATCGGAGTTCACTAACCTTACATTTAATGTTGGAGGGACTTGATGAAAGGATTCGTGGGCGGCGGCAGAGGCGGCTATACTGATCAACAGCCCTTCGTTAAGTCTCAACAAAGAAGAGCATTTTATTGATAAATTTATGAAATTATGCTGGCAGCAGTAATCGGATCCAGTCAGTTCAGTCAAGCAAAATCTCACCGTGACGGATCTATTCACAGAATGAACCTACGAAAAACTGTTGAGCTGATGAGCAAGCACCTCAGAAGCACCTCAAAGCCAGCTCACCTCGGGTGATGAGGAATACGGCAATCACCTTCAAACGACGGCATTTCCATCAAGCTAGATGAGAGATCTTCACAAAGTCTGGCTCGATGCAGACTCTTTGTTCCAGTGGTCAATGGAAGCGTGTCGTTCAATCATGCGCGGCTACAATAGCTTCGCATACCGTGCTGGCATGCACGTAGTGGTTACGGTATGCGTGCGCGCCATATGGATGTCGTAAGAACATTTGTGAATTGCTGCCTTCTTGGCCCCCGCTGTGGTTTAAACGAGAGAATCGGGAATTATTAATGACCATCTTAGTGTCCACCTCTATGAAACGCTCAGTTTCGAAACGTCGACAATGGTCGAGCATCTGGCGGAACGTCGAGCTGATTCTCTCACATTTGTACGGTGGATGTGGCCCTGCTCACGGATCGACTGTGATGTTTTGCCAATAGCAGCCTTCTGATGCCTCTGCAGATGACCTTGTGCAACCGTCTTGGCGTATCTATGGCCAGATCCCGGCCCATATCACATCCTGCAGTGTCGGCACTTTCAGCGATAAATGCCAATGGCGTAGGCGGGCATATCCAGTAGCTAAATGACTATTGTGTCTCGCCAAAAACTGCCAATTGTGGTCCGACCCACCCAGCTACCCACCGTTGATCCCGGCCTGTCAAGGCTGGCGTCGATTACTCTGGATAAGACGTTCTCTACTTGCTGACTTAGTGTTCTGTTTTGCCAACCCAACTTGTTCCGATTTGTGGGAATTTTTGTAATCTCGAAGTATTTCCCTCTCAATGAGATAGATTTGCCAAGGTGGCGTCACACCCAGTTCAGCTTGGTGAAGCTTTCTGCTGCCCACGATCACATATACAGTCTCTGCTTTCTATCTCCTATAATCACATCAGTTCGCGTTCTGATCACATGCATTGTGCCATTTGTTCCACTGGTGTATTCCATTTGGTGCAATGGTGTCGGGATCTTCCAGAAGTTTCCATTTCTGCGCATTTGGTGCAGCGGTGTCGGGATCTTCGAGAGGTTTCCACTTCTGCGCAATTGGTGCAGTGGTGTCGGGATCTTCTAGAGGTTTCCATCATGGCTATCCACAAATGGAGCCCTCTTTTTGATAAGTGCTCATCCATAGGCTTCCTTTTGGCTATGCCATTGGCTGCATTGGAGTAATGCATGTCGGAGACAGAGCAGGCTCGGAATTGTTTTGCGCACAGCCGGGTCGTGACGGGGTCGCGTTGCGTAATGCACCACTCTCAATCTTCTAGCCAACCTCTGCCCTTCCAGGAAATGACAACACCTCGATTTCTGTGAGACCTATGAATGTTGACCTTTCTTCCTTCGACACTCTCCTCGTAATCCATGTTTTTGAAATGTTGGCTAAGCTTTGAGGCTGTCATGCCATCTGTTGCTGTCACGGACGATTTATCTAGGCTGCTACGATAAGCATTTGTAGATTGGACTGGCACTTAGAATTACTAAACATCTTTTCAGTTCGAAACAATGGCCGCCTCCGGAAAGCCGGATCAAAACTACGGCGTAGAAATGTATGGATTCCCAGATTTTGTGGTGAGATCATTTGACTTTTCTTTTCTCTCTTCAACCTTCAATGTGGATATTGGACTGTTACGAAGACTCTTATATTTCCATGAATAGTTTGAATTTAGCATGTACCCGCTAAAAAGGCACATTACGATACATGGAGCACAAGAAGTAGCAGTGGATGCAGCAGTGGCAGCAGTCCGAATCACCTGGATGAGCTTCACGTGGTTAGCCTTTTGATTGACATTCTTCACTACTTGACTTTTACTCAAGCATTTCTGAAAGTTGATCTCATCTGTCATAACGACGTGATGGATTGGAAAGCATTTGACCCGTCGTTATCCAATACGGCGTTTGAAGTGACCGCCACTTACGTTTGAGTGCAGTGCTAGACTATACCACACCATACTCCAGTAAATAAGCAAATTTTGAATGTTAGTGGTATTTATATTTAGGACATCCCACACTCATCGACACCGTCTGTTGCGTCTACCAGCACTGCGTCACATCCGTCTGCTGACACCACACTAAATGTAAAGGGCGAAGTTGCTCCATCGCCAACATTTGCCGATCTAAAGCCTGGTATGCCGCCGTTCATAAAGAGCTCCACATAAGTCTGGTTATAGACAAACTTTTATCTTTACTTTCAGTAGCTCCGAAATCGGGTACAGCAGTAAGCGTATTGACCCGAGTACCTGATACGACGGTTGTCTCAACTTCTGCTTATCCTGCTGAAATTCCTCAGTTGTCAGCATTTCCAAGTTCAACCCAAACAGGGCTCGACATAGTGGCTGCGTCGGATACAGTGGTTCCGGTAGCTCCGGTACCTATTCGCCCTTCACCAACTCCTGCGGAGACAGGGACTAATGGACCTGAGATCACTCATGATGCGCGATTTTCGAGGTAAGGATTCAGGGATATACTAACAAGAACGAGACTATAGCATCGTATTTCAGTTATGCGGAATTCGAAGACGCGTTTGAAGCGTGGAAAAGAAAGTGTTTGCATCCGTTCCGTGTTGCTTCATCAGAAACCCTACGAGAACCGGACGGCACAGTAAATCATCGATTCAAGTACCGCTACGTCGTCTTTCACTGTGCTCATTACGGAGAGCCGAGAATGCGAGGTGAGCAATCCGTCTCCTCTGTTCATACGTTCATCACCTGTTGTGGTGGCGTTTGTCTCAACTTGACGCATTCACCCATCTGTCGCCTCGGCCCTTCGCCCTCCAATCGTCGTCGTCGCCGTCGTGGCCGTCTGAACAGACATGTCCGCATGTATAATTAGGTGGACCGGTGAACATGTGGCACGACTGGTCGACGTTTCACGCGACAGAAAAAAACCGCCCACCTGTGACCGCAAATTTGCCCCAGTAGTCCCGCGCTAACCGCAAAAGGTCGCATTTTTCGTGGAGAGAAAGCTAGGTGAAAGGAAAGCGAAATTCTTAAGAGCGAATTGGTGATAGATTTAGGGTATGGAGCAGAAATGTTATTAAAGCTGATGTGAATGGCAGTTTTTCCCCATTCCAATACTGACCGAGAGCGGTGGGAAGAGGTAGAGCCTGTGGATACTGTATCCGAGAAACGGTGGCGAGCTTGATGTGACATGGTATTGGCCTAGATGTAATGGATGGGAACCGAGATTTCTATCATGAGGCGGGCCTTCGCATGCGTAGTTTCTCCCACAAGGTTTCAGTTAGTGTTATGGGGGTAATCTACAATCAATCTGCAGACTTCCCTCTTTATGGGCAAGCGTGTGAGGGTTCGGAGCTTTCGATGGATGTTGGAGTATGTTGTTAAGCAGCTGTCGGTCGATTGTCGTTTTCATCGTATTCTCTATAATCCGCGCGTTGTTCGTTGCACGGTGGCCCACAATTAGCATAGACAGATGCTATTACCAGCTGACAGACTCTGACGCCCTCTAGCGCGATCTCCGTTGTCCCAATCCTTCACTACCCTTTCAAGGAACCCAGCGATTTAGTGTGTGCCGTTGGCTCGTTTGTTCGATATTGTGTGCCAATCGTTTTTTCGAAGGAAAAAATCGCGTCCGAAGGGAGCAATAAACGATAATGCGCGACACAGCTGTGTGCACTATGTGAGGCGATTTGTCCCACCGTAGTGGACTGAACATTCCGGGGAGGAGCCTTTAAAGTTTATGACGCTTAGGTCATCTGTTATCGCTTATATGCTGAGCTTAAAAAGTGTCAGCCTTTGTGATCATAAGACAAGCGTTCTGAAGTTTCATAGGTTTAGGAATTGGAAAACGTCCCAATCAACACTATCTACCATCAGGTTGTAGGGCCATGCTACGGCTGAACTACAGCTTCAGTGAACAGGTGAGCATTTTATTGCTTCTTGGTGAATCTTTCTTTTGTTACTACGGTGCTAGGTAGGGCAGTTGCGGTTGGTTACTTATCGCTCGATTGAGTTCTAAGCAGGGGTTGTGCAAAAAAGGATTGCGATTGAATTGAACTACCTGTCTGTATAACTAGAACTGTATCCAGAAGTTTTATTATTTAAGCTGCTCAAAATTACGACACTCCACGATGAGCATTTGAATCACGAGGTCTCCGCCGAGATGTACCGCAAGGTGTCAGCTAAGCTGAAGAGGTCATCGATAGGAAGTAAGCTCTTTGCTTGATCTTTCCATTATGCATTTTGATCGTTTTAATGAAATTCTTACCATTTTCACAACATTCTGCTTTCAGCTCCTTCTCCAGCAAATAAGCGGCAAAAGATGGATTCCCCAGCGCCATCGCCGTACAACCAGGATTCGTCTTTAAATCAGAATACTCCCTTGGCAACAAATCCGCCTCTTCATGGAAATACTCCTACCAGTGGAGCCAGCGCGCTAGCGCAGGTATGTAGAACAGTTTGATTATCGATTTCACCATAACAAACGTCCTCTTCTAGATGTCATTGTCACAGTCGAATCAGATGGCGAACATGGCGATTGCCCTTCAGCAACAGCAGGTAGCTTCTTTTCGTAACTTACTTTGATAGCTTTTCTTGACATTTTTGTCACTTTCTATTTCGTTTTCTTTACATAAATAGTAATTTTTGATAGATTATGGCATCCTTGTTGAATCAGCAAAAGGAGAATATCAATCTGGCCACAGGACTGTCTTCGCTTGGTATTCCAAGACCACAACCACCATCAATGATCAACATACTGGTGCGTTGGCTCCCTTCCTTTACAGGATTGACGATGACCTCATCCGAAGGTTTAATGCATGTTTTTTAGAGTATGATGGGTCTCCAGCAGCGTTTGCTTCTACAGCAACCAGCTTACGGTTTGGTGGCTCCGCTGACTCAACAGGTCACCTCGCCACCTGAAGCACAATCAATTTCTCATGCTGAAGGAAAACCAAATGTTTTGGATAGAGAAGCGGGGCAAAGAGTGAGTAAATTGTTACTACAATGTTCTTTTATTTTTATATGCGCTTTAAAAAGGTGAAAGTTTTTGCAGTTTCATTAAAAGAAGTGGGATACCCCAAATTTTTTACAGCGCGGCTAACCAACTCCCTTTGTTGGAGGGTAGATTTTTATGACTCGGTAGATCTATGTCAAGATGAAATCTGATAGGTTGGCGCTTGCTCGCTTCCACTTGCTTGTTGAGTCTGCAAGTTCTTTGACCAGGCAGGACTTTTTCAATGGTTTTCGGTTTAGTCAAAAACTGAAGGCACACTTATGTTTCTCTGAAAATTTCCCTTGATCTCTTTCAATTTTTGTGAGAACTCAAGTGAGCTGAGATATAGATGATGTTTCAGTATTCATCAAAAAACGATCTACCCGCTCCAGTAGCAGTCAAGCCAAACTACGTTTCGGCGGCTTCACAAGTGGATTCATCACCGCCTCATCTGGTACCTGAGGTCCCGGTTACTGCTGAGCAGACAGTTTCCTCGACGACACCATCAGCAACAGCTACACTGGCAGCCTCTTTTGAAGAGTCTCTGGCGCGACTTCGTAGTGGCACCCATGATGCGGAGCTTATGAACCGTATAGCGCAGCTCAATTCCCTGTCGACCTTTTGGGGCGCTCCGACAATTCCTGAGTTCAGGTAGAGTAGCAGTTATGTTGTGTTGCATTGATCAACATGCTCATTTTCTCTGATGATCAAACCATTCAAGCCTATTTATTGCCTTCACGGTAATCAACCTGTACGTGTAGATTATGCGTGTTGTTTGTAATTGTTGATTTATTTATTTAATTATAATTATTTAATTCTGTTTTATTTATTGGTCCACACCCAGTGTGACGTCGTTATTTGCGAGTATCTACCTATGAGGTTAGGATGACTCGTTTTCCGGATCAGTTTGTACAATTGAGAGCTTCCAAGTTTTTTTCCCTTTCAAATGAGTTTGATTATACGGTTTTATGACAAACGCGTCGCGTTCTTTATTGTTTACACGGGGTTACGCATCATCATCATCATCGCCGAGTTTTTGATTGTTCGATATCATCAAGTTTTAAAGTTTTCACTTTCAGTAGAGTACGGGAATTACGTTTGTATTCACATAAATTGAATAAACGTTATTTGTTTGTCTGACTTAGGCTGATATGTCGTTACATCCCTTCTTATCGCACGTATACTCAGTAGAGCAACAGTAGAAGTTTGTTGTTGCATGGTTTGTCTAGAAAACACTTCTGATCACCAAATTGCAATCCGTTCAGCAGGTGCGCTTACTAAGGAGCGGCGCTCAAGCTTTTATACAATCACACTAAATCACGTGCATCACCCTTTGGCAAGACAGCGTTCATACTTCGGAATCGCCGCTACGCGGGAGCAGCGCGCGGCGTCGCTGAGCATGTTTCTGCGGCGACTTCTGCGGCGCTTCTCTTGTGAAGAGAGCTACGAAAAAAAGATGTGACGTCATAAGTAAATGGCTAGTCGAAGTCATAGCTGCGCGAGAACCAACTTTACTTGGCTTATCCCTGGTTGTATTATACAAACTGAAAGGGTCGTTCCCAACCAGTTAAAAGTCTTGCATTTAATTAGGGCGGGAGGATGAATCTTTTCAATAAGACAATAATTTACTTGAAAATAATTTATTATGATTGACCGTATTCTCATAAATTAGTTCATAAAATTCAAGATTCGTCTATAACATGATTTCCGAATTATCCATAAGTTGAAAATGTCCAGGGGAAGTGCTTTTTCGACCTGTCATAGGAGAACTTGCTCGTGGTGACAGTTTTTCGGGGTATACTTCACTGCCATCAACACTTCGTGCCGTTGAACGTTTTTCTTTAGACGTCCAATACATTATCCTTAGCACATTACTACGGTATTCGCAGTGGAAAATACAATTTACCATCGTTGTACCAATCGATATCAATCTGGAATGAATGTTTGTTAATAGGTACGTTATTGTTTAATAAACTGTTTATAAGTTTACTCAGTTCACTTATCTTTGCTCACTTACCTAAATCTTCCCATGGTCATTCCCCTTACCTAAAACATGTGCCTTAATCACGACATTGGGAATACTGTCTGAGCAAGGTGCGAAGGTCTGGTCTTCCTCATGAGATTCCATTAACTTCGCCACCTTATTTATCACTCTCTGCTTTTCTTTAGTAATCTTTAGTGCCGGATAATCTACTGGGAAATCTCCATGAAAATTATCCAGAAATCGGCTGCTAATTGGAAAGGATTTGTTTACTTCAGCCCGTTATTTGATGGTCAGTTCTAAACTTTTACTGCTTGGATTTCTCTATTATCTCGCCTTTCTTTTTTCCTTCTTTTTCTTTTGACTTCATCATTATAATACTGTGAAGGATAAAAAA